TGTGCAATCACCGTAATTATGCATCAATTTGCATTCATTTGCATAAGTGCCACTACTTGAAAGCCAAACTGCTGCCACCTTTGCCTTGGGAGAGGGGGAGAGGTTGGACTGTGCCTCCCACAGTTCCCATTAGTCTTCCTGACAAGGAGGACATCTCGCACCCTCCATCCCCTGTGCTGTGTCACCACCACTTCCCTCTCTGGTTCCTGTCACCCAGCATCCCATCTGGAGTGTCTCTGCTTCCCGTTATCCCTCCTGTTACTGATGTCTCTCTCCACCTGCCTCTGTGTCACCTTTGTCTTGTTCCACTTGTCTCTGTCCTCCCCATGCAGGGATGAGCTGTTTGCAGGTGTCAGTGCAGACCAGTCTCCTGGTTCCTGTGCACAGCAGCAGTTCCCTGCTCGTTATCAGGCAGGATGATGGGGATACGCTTGATCCAGGGCATCTTATTCACTGCAACACACTGATCATGGGCTGGGGAAAAGCTCTCCCTATGCATTTGTACTGCACTTGGCAAACTTGGCCTTAACCAAGGTGTGTAGTGGGAGCTGTAACAGCCTTGGATGTGTCCTGCGTGCAGAGGGTCCCTTTGGGGGCAGGTTGTGCTGCTGCCTGCTGTCTTCTGCTCCATCCTTCCTGCTGGCAGAGGAGCCATTCAGCTCATGTTGTCCAATTCACCTCCCTGTAGGTCTCAGTCCTCCCCCTGCAGCCCCCACTGTCTATAGCAGACACAGGCATCATTCCCATGGGCACTCGTATGAGTTTGCTTGGTGTAGCGAAGCCCACTGGCTTAGAACTACCTGGGTCCAGTAGAAGTCTGCTGGTGCCTAAAGGGGCTGCAGGAAAGCTGGAGAGGGGCTTGGGACAAGGGCCTGTAGGGACAGGCCAAGGGGAATGGCTTGAACCTGCCCGAGGGGAGACTGAGCTGAGCTCTTAGGCAGAAGCTCTTCCCTGTGAGGGTGCTGAGGCGCTGGCACAGGGTGCCCAGAGAAGCTGTGGCTGCCCCATCCCTGGCAGTGTTCAAGGCCAGGTTGGACACAGGGGCTTGGAGCAAGCTGCTCCAGTGGAAGGGGTCCCTGCCTGTGGCAGGGGTTGGAGCTGGAGGAACTTTAAGGTCCCTTCCAACACGAACCAGGCTGGGATTCTGTGATAGTGCAGGAAAGAGCGGTTAAACTTGTGCATCTGCATGGTGCTGGAGCGTGCTGCAAAAGCTCCCTCTGCCTCCCTCCTGTGGCATCTCTGCAGTTCTTTCCCCTTTGCAGCTTTTGGTTTTGGACTCTGTAAAGCATCACTCTGTGGGCACTTGGCGCAGGGTTGAGTGCTGCGCAGTGATTGATAACCTCCACACTGACCTTTGCGGCTTGCAAATGGAGCGAGTGCTTGGATGCCCATTATGTGAGCAGCCCAAGAAGCCAAAGAGCTCTGGCGAGGCTCTCACTGCCGGAAGAGAGCAGCTTGAGTCTGTAGCGAGGGGGAGGATGGCTCAGAGTTAATGCTTCTAGCATCAAACTGTGCTCTACCCACTAAGGGCACGCATTGGAATAGATTGCTCGTTTCATTAGCACTGAAGGTAAATGAGTGGGCTGCATCCCTACCAGAGGCACTTTTAGTTCAGGCTGCCAAAGGAATAGCGGGGATTAAGTGCCATTGATTTCTGACATCAGTGTTCCTACTGGGTGCCTTTTGGAAGGCCCAGAGGATGCTTTTACACCGCGTTCAACCCTTTGGCACCTTCAAAGCGGTAGGAACAAGGGGAGCATTATGAAGGTGGGAGGGTTAAGCCTTCAGTAATGCAGGCCATGCTGGGCAGGAATAGTTTGGCACCGGTGCTGCCAGGCTTCGTGTTAGGAAGGAACAAGGTGTGTTGGTTTGGTTTGGTGGGTATGTGAGATGTGTGTTTGCTTTTTTGACTGCTTGAAGCAATCTACTTCATTCCCGAAGTTCTTGCTAGCTAATTCCATAGAGTGTTGTTAGGGGATGGGTGGCCTCATGGAACCAACCTGCCCTTCTCTCTGGCTCTTGCTGCTTCTAATAGCATTTCTAGGCAGTCGGTGGCTGTTTCTCTGCTAAATGCTTTGGCACTGATCCCCATATTCAGCTGAATTCTTCCCTTCAGCTTGCCTTGGAGCAGTGCGTTTGCACGCCATGGGGTTAGCATTAAACCTTTCATAGCAGCCTTCAGATGTGTTATTGATGGGGAAGGCCAAATTCTGCCTGAGTTTGGAGCAGAACACAGCAGCTTGGAACTGGAGGAGCTTTAAGGTCCCTTCCAACACAAACCAGGCTGGGGGTCTATGAATTGTCATCTGTATGGATGGGCCCACTCTGCCCCACAGCAGTAAGTCCTTTGTGGGTGTCACTGTGCTCCCCTACCTGTGATCACCCAAAAGGTGCTGGCAAGGCAGCAGAGCCATGTCCTGAAGGGCTCCTAAGTGTAGGGAAGGCCTGTTTTGAGGTTCCATTACCTTCCTGCCCTAGCTCTTCAATAGGCATCAGCCATGGGGATGTGCTGAGGCAGGATGGAGCCAACCTTCATCAGCCTCCTGGTGCCCAGCATGGAGCCCTGCCTGCGCTCATCACTTCTCCTGTGCCTGGTAGAGTTGAAACCCCAGAAGCTTCTCTTTGGTCCCCACTTCCAGGATGGATCCTCATGGAAGGGAGGAACAGGATCCCTGCATCAGTCCCGAACAGATCCCTGTGTGTGCTCCTGACCCAGCTTTAGCTATTGAGGTTTTCCTTTGTTCCTTCCTTATTTAAGGTTGTGTTGTTCAGCAGCTGGCTTTGGGGGAGTCTATAAACATGTCCAGGTAAAGAATGGCTGGGATCAGTGCAAATGGAGGGGAAAAGGGTGGGAGTGCATGTCAGGATGCTGTGGTGTTTCTGTGGCAGGAGGAGGACTGTAACCGTGTACAGTTGGACGAATCACTGTGCATCCTCATCACTTACCTGTGCTTGATGGGGAGCTGCAGCCCCGTTCAGAGATGAGGCTGTTCATGGGACTGTCAGTGCTGTTTGCTGTCATGGTACCTAGGGAAGGAAATGCCATTATCCAGGCTTAAAACAGGTTTTGATGGAGTTGGCTCTAGTTTGAATGAATGGAGGATGTTTCGGGGGGAAGCTGAACCCCATCTCATAGGGGTCACCCTTGCACTGGTAGCTTGAGGGTAAGTGAGAAGCCTCCTTAATCCCAACTCATTGTGGTGGAGTTCAGATCATCCTAGGCCTGTCTGCAGGGCAGCTCATAGAATCATAGAACAGTTCGAGTTGGAAAGGACCTTAAGATCACCCAGTTCCAACCCCCCTGACATGGGCAGGGACACCTCACACTAAACCAGGTCACCCAAGGCCTCGTCCAGCCTGGCCTTGAACACTGCCAGGGATGGAGCATTCACAACCTCCCTGGACAACCCATTCCAGTGCCTCAGCACCCTAACAGTAAAGAACTTCTTCCTTATATCCAATCTAAACTTCCCCTGTTTAAGTTTTAACCCGTTACCCCTTGTCCTATCACTGCAGTCCCTAATGAAGAGTCCATCCCCAGCATCCCTATAGGCCCCCTTCAGATACTGGAAGGCTGCTATGATGAGCGTTGGGTCAAGCAATCCCAGCTGTGCCTTGCAGCACGGATGGATCCCTGCACTGTGTTAACCCTAGGCTGGACAATGGGCTCAGATACAGCTCCATCATCCCAGTGAGGCTTGGAACGATGCCATCAAGCCAGGATGTGCTGAGCACCTCTGTGAGAAGGGATTCCTGGTTGGCGATGTTTGAGGGACCAAGGGGACGGGGCCTGGCCTTAGTGAGCAGCTCAGGATGCTCGGGTGCTCTGTGCTTGATCTGATGGAGCTGTTGGTTTCACAACCCTTGTTTAAGCTCTCCAGGCACATGGTGACCTTGGGAGCATGTGACAAACCTGCAGCCAGATTCCTATCTGTGATGGAGATGCTGAACTGGGAATTGGCGAGCTGGATTCCCGCTGGCTCTGGCAGGGAGTGGTGCCAGTGCAGAACTGGGATCCAGCCAGCCCAGTGTTACTGATGGTTTTACTCTTCACCAAAGAGCTGCTGGGATTTGTTCTTCCTGGTCACGAGCTTTGCTCAGCAGCTTCTCTGCTCAGTGGGAAGAGGAGACCCTGTGGGATCAGTTCATCAAAAGGACATATACATGTGGGGAAAATAACCCCAAAGCACCGCCTGGGAGCAGATCCAGAGTTTAACATTCCAGAGGCCTTGGAGCGCTTACACTTGTCCCCAGGCAGGACTCCTACCTGTTCATTTAACTTTACTATAGTGCCTATGGCAGCTCCTCACAGTGAAGGCTGGAGGAGCAATTGCACATCACCTTATCTGGGCCCAGCATCATCTCTGTGCATGCTGCTTTAAATAGATGTGTATACTTAATAACTATTGTTCTCATTAATTGCTTGTGCTGGGGAAGGCAGCTGGTAATGGAATGGCAATAGAGGTTGGATTTCCCTAAAGCATCAGGATCTCTTCCAGTGGCAGAGTTTGGATTGAGGGGGAATCAGCAGTGGCAGCGCCTCAGCACCCTCACAGGGAACAGCTTCTTCCTTAGATCTAACTTGAGCTTCCTGTTTTCAGTTTGAACCCATCACCCCCTGTCCTATCACTGCAGTCACTGATGAAGAGTCCCTTTCCAGCACCCTTGTAGCCCCCTTCAGACACTGGAAGCTGCTCTGAGGTCTCCACGCAGCTCCTCTTCTCCAGGCTGAACAGCCCCAGTGTTCTCAGCCTGGCTCCATACAGGAGGAGCTCCAGCTCATGATCATCCTCATGGCCTCCTCTGGACTTGCTCCAGCAGCCCCATGTCCTTCTTGTGTTGTTTTCCTTATGTAGCTCACTCATTCAGCAGGTGGGTGCGGAGTAGCTTGAAATCGTTGCACCTGAAGGAAGAGCACAACCCCTCCAACCTGGAGTCCTGAGCCGGGCTGGCTTCCCCCTCCAGAGGCACTGACTCTGCTCTCTTTGGTTGCCTTCCAGGTGCTGAAGGGCTGCAAGAAGCTGAACCTGTCTGTGCACTCGGTGGGCCGCATCCCGGGGGGGTACGTCACCAACCACATCTACACGTGGGTGGACCCGCAGGGCCGCAGCGTGTCCCCCCCGGTGGGGCTGGCGCAGCACCAGCACAGCTCCCTGCGCAAGGACAGCGAGAAGAGGAGCCACCTCCAGCTCCTGCAGGAGGGGGATGAGAAGAAGGTGAGCCCAGGGAGGTGGCACGGCCTTGGGGGTCTCTCTGTGGTTGTTGCCGTGCGGGTGCCAACCGTTGCACTGCTCATTCCTGTGGTACCTCCATGGGGATAGCCTGTCTCTCCTTCTGGGTATACTGGGTACTGCTTTTACCCTTGGTCTGTAGCTTTCCCCCTGTCTCCCACAAGGAGTTATACGATCCCAGCCTCCTTTGTGTTGGAAGGGAGCTTAAAGCTCATCCAGTTCCAACCCCCTGCCATGGGCAGGGACATCTAATTCCCAGTACTCTTACTGTGTAACTGGTTTTACTATAAGTGAAGCCAGCACTTCAAGTTCAAGCTTCAATCCTGACTTGAGGCAGTGTTTCTTCTCCCTTGTGCTTCCCATGCCCAAACAGACCCAGAGTCTTGTAGATGTAGAGCAGCATTGCCTCTTGCACTGGAGGCAGAGGCTGGAGGGACAGACTCTCTCTGTGATGATGGATAGAGAGCCTGTTTGCCTTGTACGACCAGGACATGGTGTGGCCTCACTGGCGGTCATGGGATACTGGCATATGAGTGAGTGTTGTGCTTTTCCCAAAGGCACAATGTTGCTTGGAGCCTATTTCCATCCTGTTACCCTGAGATCTCTATGAGGGTGCTGAGGCGCTGGCACAGGGTGCCCAGAGAAGCTGTGGCTGCCCCATCCCTGGCAGTGTTCAAGGCCAGGTTGGACACAGGGGCTTGGAGCAAGCTGCTCCAGTGGAAGGGGTCCCTGCCTGTGGCAGAGTTTGGAGCTGGATGAGCTTTAAGGTCCCTTCCAACCCAAACCAGGCTGGGATCCTATGACTGTATGCCCAAAGCATCCTCATCTCTGCCTGGACGGGTCTGCAAGCTGGAGCTTTCCACCTCGGCCAGAGAGGAAATAAATCTAACCCAGGCTGAGGCAGTTTCTGATGTAAAATTCATGTGGGCCACAAGGGAGAAGGCCCCATTACTTTAAGGAAAAGAGAAGAGCGGCTGTGGCTGGCTTGCTGCTGTCCCCTACCCCTCCGTGTCACCTTGATACAGCAGGCAGCAGCTCTTTGAAGCTGGAGGTAGGTGTTTCTGTGCACATTGTTCCTTTAGTCCTTGCTGGGTATCAACATGAAATGCTTAGAAGCCTGTGTGTGTGCCCTGTACCTTGTGTGGCACCAGACAGCCCCTTCCCAACAGTCCCTGCAGAGATGGGATTCCACATGCCCTGGCTGTCCCTGGACACCTTGGCTGTGTATGGACCAGTTACCACCCCTGAGCACCCTCCTCTGGGCTGCTCCTCAGCTCCTCAGGGGTGCACAGGAAGAATCTACCTGATCTTTGCAAGTTAAAAGAGCTTTAATTACTGCAGCTGAATCTGCTTTGGAGGGAAATGAAGCCAAGTTGAATGAAGGCCACATTAAACTTTGAAGAGCATCCGTGCTGGGCTTGCCTGCTGTTGGATGCTCACACAATCAAGGTATAAGAGGTCCCCAGCTTCGAGTGGTCCCATTCTAGCTGAGCCAGGCTGTGGGACCCTGGCTCACTGACCCTTCCACTCCTTGCTCTGCCTTAAGCTTGCCTCCAAACCCAGCTCCTCCTCACAATCCTGCCCATTGGTGTCAGCGTGCAAGGCTCGGTGACAATAACCTTCACTCCTGAATTCCCATCTGCAGGACCTGCAAAACCCAGTGGATGCTACATCTTACATCATAGGATCATAGAATGGTTTGGGTTGGAAGGGACCTTAAAGCTCACTCAGCCCCAAGCCCTGTCATGGACAGGGACCCCTTCCACTGGAGCAGCTTGCTCCAAGCCCCTGTGTCCAACCTGGCCTTGAACACTGCCAGGGATGGGGCAGCCACAGCTTCTCTGGGCATCCTGTGCCAGCGCCTCAGCACCCTCACAGGGAAGAGCTTCTGCCTTATCTCCAACCTGAACTTCCCCTGTTTTCAGTTTGAGCCCATCACCCCTTGTCCTGTCCCTACAGCCTCTGATGAAGATGACGAAGGCCACCAGTCCCTTCTGTACCCAGAGGTGCCTTGTTTTGGTCCCCATGACCAAGCTTGCTGCAGTGAGGAGAGCCTGACCTGGCTGGTAGATTTGAGAGGTTATTTGCTGTGACTGCCCATGTCATTTGCTCAACTCCTGCTTCAGGGCATGAATTAGCTGAGCTGCTTTGTCCTGATGTACTGTGGACCATCAGGAGATGCAAATGTGTCCCAGAGCACAGGAACAGCCTGCCTCTAGTTTTTTCCCCTCTTTATTTGTATGTGTGGGGTTGTATCTGTTTAACTGTTGAAAGTGTGGTCACTCTATTCAAACATAATGTAAATAAATGCCACGTACCCCTGGTGAATTCAGCCCAGTCAACCACAATCGACAGGTACTGCTGTGATGAATTGGTATCTGGATAGCTTTACATTGTGAGCAAAGGGGTGGGATTAGTTGGTTATTTCCCCCCTTTTTTTCTAATTGATCTGATTGCCCTAGAATATGTATGCAAAAGCTTTCAAACAGGGAAAATACAGCAGAGATCAGACTTCAGCCCTGCAGCTGAAGTCATGTAAACCAGGGAGGTTTGAATGCATTGGGATGCTGCTGTAGTTAACCTGATGTTTCCGGCTTTACCAAGGTTAGATTCAAGGTTGGTGGAGGCACCTTGCCTGCATTAGGCTATAGAGGTATTCTGCCTGGCCACCTTTTCCTCCATACATCTGCTCTGTATGTGAAACAAGTTTGCTTATCTGTAGGCAGAAGCATTCATTATCAAAGGGCTTGAAATGGAAACTGCTGCTGCTGACGTGTGTGTGACGGGGTAACCGATCCGCCTGGTAGAGGAGGGATCCATGTACCTGCCCCGGGGCTGGCATATACCTGGTCCATGGATTTACACTGTGTTTTAACTGGGAATGCTGGGATTCTTTCACTGTCGAATGGAAGCCATTATGGGGATTTGGGAAGTTAGCAAAGCCCATTGGCTTTGCTTTCAATGTCCTGGTGTCCCCAACATAAGAAGGACACGCAGCTGTTGGAACAAGTCCAGAGGAGGCCATGTGGATGCTCAGGGGCTGGAGCAGCTCCTGTATGGAGAAAGGCTGAGAACATTGTTAACCTGGAGAAGAGAAGCTGCATGGAGACCTCAGAGCAGCTTCCAGTGTCTGAAGGGGGCTGCAAAGGATGCTGGAGAGGGACTCTTCATCAGGAGCTATAGTGATGTTTTTTTCATCATGGGAACGTGCAACAACTTACATACCTCCTTCATCACTCCATTCCCCTTAATTCTTGCTTAGAATCATAGAATGGTTTGGTTGGAAAGAACCTTAAGATCATCCAGTTCCAACCCCCTGCCATGGGCAGGGATGCCTCACAGGAGACCATGTTGCCCAAGGCTCTGTCCAGCCTGGCCTTGAACACTGCTGGGGATGGAGCATTCACCATGTGCTTGCCGTGGCGGGTTGAGCAGATGACTGTTCCCTCAGGTTTGCTCTGATTCATCTCCTCACTAAGGGCAGCCTTCCCTGTGGTCGGAATCAGTGGATCCAGAGCTTCCTCAGTGCCCATCTCCCCATAGGTGCAGTAGCCAGTGGTAGTGGCCAGTAATAAGCAGGATTTGTATGATCTGTCCAGTGAAGTCCTCTGATCTTTTTCACCACATCAGGGACCACTTGTGCTGTGAATTGTCCTTGATGTCCTTCTGGGATCGAGTGCTTATTCCATTAAAAGCACTTTGGAGACCATCAGCCAGCAGCAGCTTGTAGGTGCTGCTGAGCTGGGAGGAAAATGACCTGTGCAAAACGCTCTGCAAGCGTTGGGCTGCTAATTCCCTGTGAAACACCATTTCATCAGCTGGATCGTGGCTGTAATGTGCTTATTGCCAGGGGAGCTGCTTATTCCTGTAAGCTTTTGGTGCAGCAGAAGAAGGGAAAGATACACTAAGAGAGTGTGAGCATCCCCTTGCCTCCAGGCAGTTCTGTTTCCACAAGTAGCTGTTGTTATTAGAAAAGAAGACAAATTTGATCTATGGTAACACTGCGTGGCTTAAATGTTTGAGGCACTAATGGTGCCTACTTGAGCATGAAGGAGAAGAGATGCAGGAGAGATAAGGAAGGATTTCTTTCTATTAGATTCTAATGACATTTGCAGAGTGAAGTGACAGAGCTCACCACATCTCTCACTGTTTGCTTGCTGGGTTTGCTCAGCTTTACAGCAAGAAGAATGTTCAGTGTGCTCGGGGCTATGTGGTTTGTTCCCTGTGGTGACTGGGGTATGTGGCATGAGCCACTGGTCCCCCAGTTCACTGGATCCTTCTTTCTGGAGCAGCATCCCAGCAGACTTAGCCCAAAATGTGCTGCTTGGGTCAGAGCTCAGCTCAACCCATGCTGGTGGGCACCAGAGCATCTCCTTGTTATTGCAGGGATTCTATTGCAGGGAGGCATCTGCGCTCCTGGGGGTTGCTGCCAGTGGAACTGTGACATCCAGGTCCCCAGCATGGCCTCACACATCCTGCCCTGGATGGGAGGGTTGGTGTCGGGGAGGCAGTGATGGATGCAGCACCCCCAGCAGCCGCGATTGCTGCTCCCAGTGCCTCAGTTAACGGCTGTGAGCTGGCTCTGTGCTGCTGTGAGCTGTGCCTGCACGTTTGCAGGATGTCTAGACATCAGCCAGTGGGGTTTCCTTGGTGAGCAGGAGGAGGATGAGCCCTGCGAGCCTCCTTAAGTGTTGTTTGTGTTGTGTGGTAGCGCTAATGGCACGGCAAGAGCTGTCAGCATGGGCGAAGCCTTCCCATGCGCTCCGGCAGCTGTGTGCTGAGCCGTGCTGATGGAGAGTAATTCTTGTCTGGAAGTGCTTTTTCTAATGGTAAAATTGCATCTATCAACAGGTAATTGCATAAACCCAGAGAAATGAAATCCCGTGTAAAAACCAGCTCAGAGAAAATGCCTTCTTGATGGTGGCATTCATTTCCCCTCGATTCCCTGCTATAGGAGGTGGCAGATGCTTCAGCGTTGAAATTGAAATTAAAAGCATGACCTTGATCTTCCCAATGAGTCTGCTGTAGCCCGGGGCTGGACACAGCCCTGGTACTGTGGAGGGGAGGAGGTGGGGATGGGCAGCATCGGTGCTACAGTGAGCCTGGAAATACCTTCCCTTCTCAGCAGGGTACAGGGGGTGCCTTGCATGGGGGTCCTCAAGGATGCCAGAGGGTGCAGGTAGTGCTGTGCTTGGGACAAGTAGCACCACGGTGCCAACCCTACTGAGCACCACCTCTGCCCTATGCCCCGGCAGTAGGAACAGCCTCTTCCCTAGCAAACTGTGTGCAAAACAGCCTCCCCTCTTATCCCTAAGCCCTTAGCATGGAGTGACTCAGCCTTTGCTTCATCCTGCAAGCAGCTTATCTCTGCTTTGGCTCCTCAGGGCTTTCTCTCTGCTCCTCCTTGCTCCGCAGCCTGCTCAAGCCGAGCCCCCTGCCTGCAGCCCTCGCTTTATTCCTCAGCTCTTCCCTAATTCTGCAGTTTGTCAGCAAGCCAAATGCTCCCAGAGCTGTTTATTCCCTGGTCCCTGCTGCTGCTGCCACTCTTTTCCCAACAGCCCCAGTTGCTATTGTGATTTCCACAGGGTTTATTCCAGGTATCAGCTGATTAAGAAATGCAATTAAGCCTCAGCAACCCAACGTTGTGGCATTGCCGGCAGCGATGTGGGTTTAACTGGTGCTCAGGTTTATTCACATAGCTTTGGGTTGCTGGAAGGTCCTTTCAGCCTCTGGTCTTTGGGGCTGGATCGTTGCTTTCTGCTCCTCGCAGGCTGGGTTTGCTGGGATGTGTGTAAATGAACCAGGTCGGGCAGCAGCGCCTCGGGTTTGCAGGGAGTATCTCTTACTCCATCTGATGGTATTGGGGTGGGGAGAGCAGCTTCTCAGCTTACCAGCACCTTGGGATAGTGTTAAAGGGCAATGTAAATGCCTTCATGCAGAGCTACCGTCCTGTAGACTCCAGTGAAGTGTTGCAGTATGAGCTGGCTCTTCTGGGCAGGATAGGTGGAAATAACTGTCCTGGCATTATTAAATAGGGATCATAAAGCACATGGCTGCGTGGAGGAGCCCTGGGAGCCTTCTGTGCCTTCAGCTGAACCCACCCTGAGGCTGTGTACCTCTGAGCATCCTTTAGGCAGCCCCGAGTGGTTGTCTGGGCAACGGGGAGATGGGCAAGAGATGCACTGAGGCGCTGGCACAGGGTGCCCAGAGAAGCTGTGGCTGCCCCATCCCTGGCAGTGTTCAAGGCCAGGTTGGACACAGGGGCTTGGAGCAAGCTGCTCCAGTGGAAGGGGTCCCTGCCCACGGCAGGGGTTGGAGCTGGAGGAGCTTTAAGGTCCCTTCCAGCACAAACCAGGCTGGGATTGTATAAACCTTCTCTTCCCCTTCCTCTGCATTGAAGCAGGGTGGTTTTAAGCTCCATCTGGGGCTGTGGTTGTCTGGAGGTACCTGCAGAAGGGCTTTATCCCAGTGTGTGGGGAGCTGGGGGCACATAAATGACTGTTCCTGGTCCTCTGCAGGTGAATCTGGTCCTGAATGAAGGGAAATCCCTGGGCCTCATGATCCGAGGAGGGGCAGAGTATTCCCTGGGCATCTACATCACCGGTGTGGATAAAGGCTCTGAAGCAGAGAGCACTGGCTTAAAGGTAAGAACAACCCCACAGTGAGCTGGGATGGGAGACAGAGAGATTGAGTTTCATACATTGAGGATGCAGGGCCACATTAGCTGCAGTTCCTACCCCTTGTCCCAAGCCAAACAGGGATCTCGGTGGAGAGGTGAGAGTTGCTTTCCTGGAGCTGGATTTTCAGGGCAGGTTCTTTGGATGTTTTGGCTATTAAACCTTTAGGGAGCAAGGTGGTTGTGCAGAGAGGAAGCTTCTGAAGCAGGTTATACCTCGTCTTCTGCCTTAGCACAACCCCACACCTGGTTTCTCCCCTTTGAGACAGCTTGGGGGTGGTTTTGATGTAGACACCTGAGTGCAGCCTGGACTGGAAGTGAGGAAAGTCACTGCCACCTCCCTGAACTGGCAGGGAAGAGTTTGCTGTTAAAGATCCTGGTCCTGTGCCCTTCTCCTGCATCTCGCATCCAAAGCCCTGATGTTTGGAGCATGTGTTGAGCTGCTGTGGTGAGGGGAGGCCGAGCTGCCTGTGCCAGTGTCCTCCTGCAGCCCTGGATTCACAAGCATCATGTGCTAAAGGGCAGGAACAGCAGGATCACCCTCAGGGATAGAGCAAAGCTCACCTATCAGCAGCCTGGCTTGGTGTGACCTCCAGCTATGTCAGGCTCCCTCCATAGTCTAATAGCTTCCTACAGGGTGTCTGTGGGGTGGTTGGGTCCTTCTGAGGCTGCCCTGGTCCGGAGTTGGCTACAGAGACCTCTTGTAAAGCGCGATCTTGCATCTCCTTCATCCCACCATGTACACACATCATCTCCAAGCTCCTCCAGCTTTCCCACAGTACGAGGCCTCAGAACAGGATGGGACTGGGATCCCAGCTGTTCCTGAAGGGTCATTTGGGTTAAAATCATATATGTTCATGGGGTCACCAGTCAGATAAGCTGAAAGAGGAGCTGTTGGACTTGTGTATCTGTGCTGCTCATGAATGGGGCACATTGGAAACTCGGACACCTCAGGTTGCAGTGTTTCATCACTCAGGGTTTCTCTTCATGTATGGTTTTTCTCTCTGAATGATCCAATTCCCTACAGTCCCCTCTGTGCCCTTTTTGCTTCCTCCAGTGCAATCCCATGGGCTCTGAGGGGCGGTTCTTTCCCTGCTCCTTGTGTCAGTCCAGACTCAATAGATGTTAAACTCCTCTGGAATGGTGCTGGGCTGCTGAGCATTGGTGTTAATCCACTCTGATCCCCTCTCTGCATTGTGGTGGTCCATTTCCCCATGGATTGGCCCTGAAGGGTCTGGGGCTCAGCCTTCAGCTTTGCTCCAGTGGCCCCATAAAGTCAGTTAAAGCTGTCAAAGCTGACAGCATGAGGTGTGTGGACAGCGTGGGGCAGGGCTGTGATTTAGGCTGGAACAGACACAGTCTTGTCGCTCAGGTTGCTGTGGCAGATAACATTGCATCTGAGTGGGCACTGAGATCACCAGGGTTTGCTTTATAGACCAGGATCCATTGGTGGGGGTAATGTGACCAGTTCTAGACTTAATCATCCTCTGCTGGCTCCGGTTTCTTTCTCCTGAGTCTTCATGACACCAAAGGGAAATGCTGAGCTTGGAGGTTTGGATCAGTCCAAGTCTTAACCTCTCTCTCAGGTCCTCAGCAGGGAAATCATGGAATGCTTTGAGTGGGAAAATACCTTAGAGCCCATACAGCTCCAACCCCTGCCACGGGCAGGGACCCCTTCCACTGGAGCAGCTTGCTCCAAGCCCCTGTGTCCAACCTGGCCTTGAACACTGCCAGGGATGGGGCAGCCACAGCTTCTCTGGGCACCTTGTGCCAGCGCCTCAGCACCCTCACAGGGAAGAGCTTCTGCCTAAGAGCTCAGCTCAGTCTCCCCTCGGGCAGGTTCAAGCCATTCCCCTTGGCCTGTCCCTACAGGCCCTTGTCCCAAGCCCCTCTCCAGCTTTCCTGCAGCCCCTTTGGGCACTGGGGCTGCTCTAAGGAACCAACTCAATTCTGGTAACAATCAGTTGAAGCCATAAAACCCACAGAAGCTTTCGGTGCCTGGGAAGTCAACAGGAACTTCCCAATGACCCAGCAAGGCTGGGTTGAGTTCCCATTGAACAGTACCGCAATTCTTCCATTCCAGAGCGCAGCGAATGACCTGGAAATCACATTTACCCACCACTTCTTCCCTCCTGGTGCTATCACATCCCTTCCATCACCACCTGGAGCAGCAACCTCTGCCCAGCAGAACATTAAACATGGCAGGGGTTGGAGCTGGATGAGCTTTAAGGTCCCTTCCAACACAAACCAGTCTGGGATTCGATGAATCCATGATAAAAGGCCTTTCTTTATCTCCAGACCTCCCAGCAGCTCTAAGCTGACAGCCTGCAGCACACACAAACCCAGGTGGGAAATGTTGGTGCATATCAGAGATCACATCAAGCCTGGCATTCAGGAAAGCCCCATCCTGCTGGCACAGACACACACACACACACAGAGGGATAAAGCTGTGTGTTCTGCTGCTGTGACTCCTGTGTGTGCTGGTTTGCATTGAGACCGTGGCTGTGCTGAGCTCACAGGCGTGGGGTTTGAACCAAGGAAAGCAGCAGAAGCAGGGGCCTGGATCAGTGTGGGAGCAGTAACCATGAAATGAACAGAAAGAACTGGAGAAAAGCAATGCAACTGCTTCCTCTTTTCCTGCCTTTTCAGGCTTCTGGGCTGTAGGAGATGGAGCCTGGCACTGGCACAGGGTCTGTGATGGGAACAAACATCCCGTGACTCTGCAAAGTCACCCATGCAGCACACGGAGCAGCTCCAGCCAGTCCCTCTATTGCCAGCTCTGTTAGGGAGAAACAAATTGTCCTGTGCCTTTTATCATCTCTGTCTTTAATCCTCACGTCCCAGAGCACTGTCCCTGCTGCCTTTCACCATGACCTTGCACTGATGCATGCACTGACATCCCCAGGAGATGCAGGCAGAGTGGTGCAGGGTGGCCAACAAGGGGTAATGTATGGTCTGGGAGAGAAGGATGCTCTGCAGGGAGCCTCCAGCAGCAGCTCTCACTTCTTGGTGCCCTCAGAAACACTCAGCCATCTCCATAGGATGCTCCTTGTCCCTGCTGCCCAAGTGACCCTCTCCTATGGCAGGGTCCAAAACCCCTCGTGGAGCTTGGAGCAACCAGGCTGGGATTCTCTGATTCTGCCAGACTTTCAGTGAAAACCTTCTTGCATCTATGGCACCAAACCTGCATTTTTGAATGTTTTAATAACATGTTCCACGTTTCCCTTAAATTTTGATGAAAGGGCCTTCGATGTGGTGTCGAAAACCAGTCAAAACCAAGGCAGCTTCTCTGAGGCCCAAAAGCTCAGCTGGCTTTTGTCTGCCACAGAACCAGGGTCTGAGCATTGTGTCACAGAGGAGACCCAGCTCTGCCGATGCCCATTTGGGTACCACTGCATCTCCGTGGCCACAAGCAGAGCGTTTCAGGTGCCAGCAGAGAGCAGGCTGATCTCTGCACTCAGTCAAGCATTAAATATTCATACTCTTGGCCTTGGCTTCCTTCTGTTTATTCATGATGAGACTTGAGGTTCTGTCCCCCCTGAGGTTCACAGCAATGCCAGTGCAGGAGCTGACCTTGTTCTGCTCATCCCCATTTCTTCCTGCTTCATTCCTTTTGCAGGTCTGTTTTGTCAGGATGTGGGTCTTTAAGCCAATTTCTCCTCTTCTTGACCTTTACGTCAGAAATAGCAGCTTTCGGGTGGCTTGCTTTGAACAAACAACTCAACATTGAGGTCCCAGCACAAAGGCTGGGGTAAAAAGAGGCCGCCGCAATCAGTTTATGCCTATATATACACGAGTGAGTAAAAGAGAGACTGTAAATAGGAAGAGGTGAATGATTTTACGTCATTGGTTTTAGTCACAAAGCTGCCTCTCGAGAAGGGGCTCGTCTTTAGAGGTCTGCACGTAGGCAGGAAGCTATAAAAAGCCTCGTGGCTGCTTCGAGTCTGGGCAATGAGCTGAATAGGGAGCAATGCAGTGAGGATGTGCGTGGTTGCGGTGCGCAGATGGAGCCTGGAGGCGGTGTGGAGCGGTCCTTCAAACCGTGTCACCCTTATGGGGACAGGCGGTGCTTCAATGGGAGGCCAGCACAAACCAGTGCCTACCCCAGGAGCCAGCCTCCTCTGCTTGTTTGCTTCCATACAGAACCATTCAGATCCCATTTGGATCTGCTTTGATCCACATCCTTGTGCTGCAAGGTTTGGGGAAAAGAACATGTTTCCGACAGCACTGAGCCCACTGTTCCCTTGCCTTGCTCCCACATGAGGATCCTTCCAACAGGCTGTACTGGCCTCGTTGGATGTGAGTTATCTGCCCCAACCCTGGGGAAGCTCATTATAACCTCTTTAGTTTCCTGCAAGTCTTAATTTGGACATTTCCACTTTTTCTTGCCCATAGTTTCAATTTCTTAAGGTCTCCTTTTGGTAATTTCTTGTGCTAAAGGGAGACTCCTTCCACTTCAGTAGTACCCATAAGTAATTTAACCTCTCTCCTAGCACATTAGTAGCATTTAATAAGACTAGTGCTGGTGCCAAACCATTTGGCACCCCATTAGCCCCGTTATTCCCAGCTCAATTTGGTGTCATTTAACATTAATTCACTTTGAAAAGCTCTCACCCATTTCTCTGTGTGACTGAATTCCTCCCAGAGCCAATTCTGATCAGTTTAAAGGGATTTCAGGTGCTCACAACCCTTGCCTTGAGCCCATTACGTTCCTCTTGATTGCACCTCCCGTTCCCTTTGTCCCCAGGAAGAGAAGGAGGGGAGGCTGTCACTGGGCTGTGTTGTTTCTGCTCTCTGGTTCTTGTCAGCCACCTTTCACACGTCCTGTTCAGCCTTTGCCTTTCAGGGTAGATTTTTCCTTAGGAAATGAGAATAATCCCATTTTCAGAGCTGATGCTGTTCCCTTTCCTTTCCTGGCTGTTTTCTGCAGGGAGGGTTCTCGCCGCTGCTGAAGGAAGGCACAAGAAAGCCCAACAATGCTTATTTTGCACATCCCGACTCAAACACAGGTCCTAGGACTAACTCTGAGCCTGCTGCAGAGAATCACACAATGGAGTCATAGATTCCAGGCAATCTCTCCATCTCTTCTGTTACATTTCCATCGGGAGCTGGGTGCTCGGGGACAGGAATGTGCCTACAGCAAATAATGTGCCAGGGTCAACTTTTGCTTTCACAGATGGTTCTTTTGCGTCTTTGCAGTTTTGTGTTACCTTCCCAATTGTGCTTGACTTTGGGGGGGTAAGGGGATAAGGAGGGAGGGAAGTAATTATTATCTATGTTAATTAGCAAACCCGATCTTTTCCAGCTCCAACAGGAGCCTCTCATCAAGGTAGGTAGAGGTGCTCCTGTGCTGGGCGCTGTGCTGAGCACAGCTGGAGTCTGAAGGACAGATATGGATGAAGTAGCTTGTCCAGGGCCCCTCTGCTGTCCCTGTTATGGCTTGTCAGGTTCCTTTTGGGCCTCTCTTGAAAGGAGAAACCAAAGGAAGGCAATTAAATCTGTATAATGTGAACAAAATAAATAAGGACATTTTAATCCCTGATCTGGAAAACTATTAAAGATCCATACAATAACACTATCAAATCGGACTTGGATGTTCACTGTTTGATGCTGCAGTGAACCTGATGCTCCTCATTGAGCAGCAAAATCCACTCCAGCAGATTGCCCAGTGAATCAGAAAGACCTGGGGATTGATGCTGATTTTCCTCTTGGCAGTGGAGGCACTTGGGTCATTTCCTCTCCCCGTTGTGTTGGTGCTCAGCAGTTCTCAGGTTGTCAGCTTAGAGCCGACAGAGCTTGCAGGGAAGATGAGGAGTTTGTGGAGGCTGATGATGGGGATGTGGTCATTTGGGTCACTTGCCTTTCCCTGGGCTCCCTCCCATGTCTTGGTCTCTGTTACCAGCTCAGACTGCCTTTGGCTCCCTTTCTGCACTGAGAGCATGAGAGACTGAGCAGGGCTTGGTGAGGGCAAGCACTGCTAAGCAGCAGTTAGCCATCAGTGTGTTATCAGCCTTACACTCAGACTACAGCCACAACACAGCACTGGAACAGCCACTGGGAAGAAGATTAACCCTATCCCAACCATCAGGACACCGCCTTTGCTGGAGCAGTCATGGAATCACAGAATGGTTTTCTCTTGGGTTGGAAAGGACCTTAAAAATCATCGATTTCCAGCCCCCCGGCCATGGGCAGGCGATGGATCCCAGGTGCTTTATGCTGGTGGTGCTCCTGGTGTTCACTTTCACCCCAGCAAAGTCCTGGGTAGCACTGGGGAAAACTGGGTGACAGCAGAGTCACAGCCACCCCATAGACTTGGCTTCTCCCTGGAGTAAGGGAACTAATCCCAGTCCAGGAGTGAGCTGAGAGGGTGGTGTTGACTCTCCTTGTCGTTCTATTAGACTTAGGAATTCTCCCCATTCCCTCTCGTCTCCTCCTCCGAGAGGGAGGTGAGGGATTTAACTGATGCCTCATTCTGTTTGCACTGCAGCACAAAGGGAGTAAAACAGTTTTGACAGGGCTGAACAGAGCCTGTGCTTGAGCAAAGCTATGGAAGAGCAGTTTCAAAGAGGTGGCTGTGAGGAGCAGGTTGAATTGTGCTACGGGAGCGAGGAGGGCTGGCACTGAGAGCCCTAGAAACAAAGGGACAGAGGACATGGGATGCTCTATGAGTGCTGTGTCCTCAGTATGGCCAGGCTGTCAGGAAAGGCCCCACTGCAACATGAAAGCTCCTGGGAGGAGCTGGGAAGGAAATAGGAGGAGAGATGAAATCCATCTCTCTCATCTCCTACAGTACTGCTTGGAGGCTGAGGTGGGACACTCCAGTTGGACCCTCTCTCCAGCACACAGAGATCTGGGTTTGGGGCTTCCACAGATGGTCCCTGGCCTCCCACATCAAGAGGAGGGGTTGGGGCTGCAGGGTGAGATGTTCTCCAGGGGCTGTTACAACCGAGCTGGTCTGTAGATCCAGTTGATGGGGGAGTCTGGGCAGACTGGTCTGGTTTGGGGTCATTGACATGCTCCTCCAGGCTTCACTGGTCCTTCACTGGTCAGCTCAAGTGCCTGGTCTCCAGCCACCAGCACTTGGCCCATCTCCCTCACTGATGCCCCCAGTTGTTGTGTCCCCAGTTTGAGGTGGGGTGGATGGAGCAGCTCCTCCCTGGTGGGATCGGAAGCCGTGTCCCTAGCGGGAAAGCCCTTAGGCCATGGCATCCTCACCACATCCTCCCTCCGCAGGTTGGAGACCAGATCCTGGAGGTGAACGGGAGGAGCTTCCTCAGCATCCCCCATGACGAGGCCGTGAAGCTGCTCAAGTCTTCCCGCCACCTCATCATGACGGTGAAGGACATCGGGAGGCTGCCCCATGCCCGCACCACCGTGGATGAGACGAGGTGGATAGCGAGCTCCCAGGTTGGGGACACCCTCGTCTCCTCAGCAGGGTACGTGCTTGGAGCACCCCATGCAGGTTGGTTATCAACACAGAGCTGCTCTGTGATGGACACAGTCACCAAGGGGTGCGAGGAGCCCCAGGACCTGAAACGTGATGGGTATTGTGGAGCTCCAGTACCAGGAATGGTGGCAGCCTGATGGGATGCAGTGTGTGTGGGCACCCTGTCCATGGGAGCACCGTGGCTTCTCAGGCATGTGGCCCCCATATGTGGGGCTTAGAAGACAGCATCCCTGGTCTGGAAGGTGGATCAGGGCTTTAGGGCACACTGCTGCCCCTTCCCTGTTCCCTTACGGGCACAGAGAGGGAAGAACATCACAGATCTGGAGCCAGGCTCGATGCAGTGAGTGATGGGCACATGCTTCTCGGTGCTAACTGCTCTTCTCCCTCCTCGCAGGGCAGTGGGTGACCGTGCTGCGGAGGTGACAGCCAGGGTAAGAGATACAAGTTCTTCCTGGTGCCTTGCCAAAAGAAATCACCATTATTGTCCCCTGTTTTCCATGGGAGGGAGGGATTTGTGCTCCTGGCTTGACAGGGATGCTGGTCCTATGAGGTTTAACTGCCTCAAGCCTTTCTCCTCCCCACCTCATGTTGCCAGCTGTGTTTCTACCAGCAGTGACATGACCCCCTCTCCTGTGCCACTGGTGGGTCTGCAGGACATTGGTGCCTCCAGCCTGGGAATGGTCCCATTGACAGGCAAGGACCCCTGCAGCCCACAGAGGTGACTCTGATGCCTTCTGTGTGACGGCTGCCTCTGGGCCCTGCCAGCTCCTGGGACCATTCCCGCTTGCAAGCAGAGCTGCAGTGCCAGCAGGGCTCCTCTCAGCACCTCCCTGCAGAGCTCCTGTCTTTGAAATGGAAATGCAGCAGCGAGGTTTCGCAGGTGGCTCTCACTGATAACAGCTCTGTGCTGTTCCCTGCAGTGCTCACTCCTTGCAGTGTCTCCAGGATAGTCAGGGTCTTGGCTCCGTATCCCTCTGTGTGACTCTGTCTGGGAGGGGAGCAGCAAGGACCTCCCTTAGAAACCCCTGTCCAAGGCAGAAGCCTTTCATCCGCAGCCAGGCTGGTCTCTCCCTGGGCTCCTCTGGTTGCCAGCAGCTCTTTCTTCACCAGGCTCTGCTTTAAGCCTGCAGTGGGGGCAAATGTGCCTTTTCCACAAGATGGGAAGCTTGCCTTTCCTCCTGGCCCCATTTCCCCATCTCTGCCAGGAAGGGAGTGAACCCTGCTATTGAATCAAGAGCTGGCCAAGGGACAGCTTGTGAGCAGAGCCCTGCAGCTGCTTTGGTTATTCTGCATAGACTGGCTCTGAAGTTACAGGGACAAGTGACACTGAGTGCACAGCTATGCTGGTGAAGCCGTGGGGACACCTCTCTCTGGTCATTTTGGAAGCATTCCCCTTCCCTTCCCTTTGGCACAGGCAGTTGGGTGAGCGCAGCAGGCTGTAATGCTGGGGTAGGGCTGGCAGCAGAGCGAGGGGCAGTTCCTGTGCACCCCGGCTATCCTTGCTTCCCCCCTCTCAGCCGATTCCTTGGCATCCCAAGCCAAAGCCTCTCTCCCGTCTCCCGCAGCCCGTGTTCTATCGGGGCCTGGCCGGCTCGCAGGTGACACTGAGCACCATGGTGAACCAGACCCGTGTCATGCTGGAGGAGCAGGCACGGCACCTCCTCAATGAGCAGGAGCGGGCCACCATGGGATACTACCTGGATGAGTACAAGGAAGGCAACATCTCCGTGGATGCACTGGTCATGGCGCTCTTCGAGCTACTCAACACACACGCTAAGGTGAGGCCCACACCATGGTCCAGGATGGTTCCTTGTTCCCGGTGGACTGAGCAGAGCCATTGGCACAGCAGATAAATCTCCAAGGTTATCTGCTCAGAGACAATGGTGAGGGTGGAAGGCCAAATCAAGATGCAGGGCTCTATAGGGGATAGAGGCTGGTGTTCAGTAGCAGAGGAGCTTCTGGTAAAGTTTAGGACCAAACCTCCTCATGCACTATGTGCTATGGGTTGTGTTGTGTTGGAAGGGACCTTAAAGCTCACCCAGCTCCAACCCCTGCCACAGGCAGGGACCCCTTCCACTGGAGCAGCTTGCTCCAAGACCCTGTGTCCAACCTGGCCTTGAACACTGCCAGGGATGGGGCAGCCACAGCTTCTCTGGGCACCCTGTGCCGGCGCCTCACCAAAGGCCCCATTACCTGCCAGCACATCCCATTCCCAATGGTGGACAGTGTGGGAGGCCTCCCGTGCTCCAACCTGTCCTTGGTGCCTGTCTCCTGGCGCAGTTCTCGCTGCTTTCGGACGTGCGCGGCGTCATCTCCCCGCAAGACCTCGACCGCTTCGACAACCTGGTGCTGAAGAGGGAGATCGAGTGCATGAAGGCGCGGCAGCCCTCGGGGCCCTCCCTGGCCACCGACTCCTACTCCATGATGTCCTACAGCGACACCGTCTCCTCCTCCAGCAGCCACTTCACTGCCACCACCGTCAGCTCAGCCCGGGTGAGTCCCTGCAGCCCCCCCGTATCCCTGCAGGGCTGGAAAGGCTTCCACCTGCGGGAGGAATGGTGGATCCCTTCCCTGAGAGCTTACCCGGGTGTGATCTGTAGGTGCATTGGATGGTGCCAGGACATGTGCTTGGTACCTCCGTGCTCCTGAGGCCGCGATGTCACCGTCCTCTGCATGGGGGCTTGACGTAGTGCTGTCGCCTTGTCCCCTGTGCAATGCAAGCTGCATCCCCACAGGGGTCTCAGTGACTTGTTCCTCTGTGCCTGCTGCTATCCACCAGCTCTGGTGCCTGAATCACCTCCTTAAAGACGTTTGCTGCCTTCTCTGCATCCCAGCAGGGACCTCGGTGGCCTGGGCAAGCCCCTGCCCACTCTCCAGCACTGAGTGGCAGCTCTCCCACGTCTCCTTCCCTGCATGCACCTTCTGAGTTCCTGTAATCACCTCTAAGTGCACATTAATCTCCCGGCCATCAAATGCCTTTCACCATAAATGCATCAGCAACCTTGGAAATGAAAACCGTCATGAAAGGAGCGGATGCCAAGGGGCTTTCTGCTGGTTGGGTACAAGGAAACCAGCCCATGGCCAGGGAGAGTGGGAATGTGGTGCAGAAGGTGCAGGCAGGGTGTGAGCTGGGGGCATTCCTGGGTTGTCCCTGCCTGCCTGGGTCAGTCCAGCACCCCAAGAGGCCTTGGAGAGCTTCAGAGCTGGGCTTTTGTCCCATTGACTTCACAGACCCCATAGGATCAACCCTTGGGTGGTATGGTTTAGTGTGAGGTGTCTCTGCCCATGGTAGGGGGGTTGGAACTTGATGATCTTAAGGTCCTTTCCAACCCGAACTATTCGATGATTCTATGAAAGCCGTGTCCTCTGTTCACAATGGGTTACAGTGAGATGCTTTCTGGATCAAGAAAAACAAAGGTCTTGTTCCTGCTCCGTGACAGCAAGCATGGCTGCTTGGCCTGGTGTGTGAGCCGTGGTCCAGCCCTACCTGACACGCGAGCCCTGAGGTCAGGGATGGAGACCAGGATGCTGTGCTGGCATAGAGAAGAGCGTGTGTACACTGCTTTAAGGGCTTCCTTCAATCACCCCTCAAATAGAGCCATAGAACAGTATGGGTGTCCCTGGGTCTCACTCCAGGTCCTCCCTGGCAGCTGGCCACCTCTTTCCATGGGTGTAGAAACATGCCCTGCTCCAAGCTCTGCCTGGGGTGTTGGGAATGCTACTGCAGAGAGCATCACGGTGGATGGATGCTTGTCTTAGCTAGTGGGAGATATAAGAGGGGCAGAGCTCCCAAATGGTTTCTCCTGCCCTGAGCTGCTCTCCCTGCCCAGCACTGGCTGCAGCTGGATGTGGATCCTGCAGGATGGGTTTGGAGGGAGGAGGGATGCCTTGTGCTGGGGTTTGCTTGTCTCCCTCACTGCTCCTGCACCCCCCTGATGGTCTGTTTTGCTTTTGTGCTTGTTTCAATCTGCTTTTCCCCCTGCACGTCCCCAGGAGCGGCTCTTGTGGCTCATAGACCTGATGGAGGTAGGGGCTGCTGGAGTGCTGCGGTTGCCATAGCAGAGGGGATGAGTGTGTGTGTGGATGGGTGCTGGGAGGGAACAGGCTGTGCAGGGACCAGCATGTCAACAGGGACCGCATGAACAGTGCCTTGATTCATCCCTTAGCCCTGTTGAGCCATTCCAGTCCCTTTGCTCCAGCGCAGCTTAAGGCCTTGGTGCAGCAGAGCAAACAAGACTCAGCTCTGAGCCAGACCCAGTGTTCTGCTTGCACTGGAGCCCTGTGTGTCACTGGCAGCTCAAGGATGGGCTAATTTTAGGGCCAGCAGCATTGATGGACCCCACACTGCCCCTCCTGTTGCTGCCTGCCTCTACCTGCTGCTCTGCTGCCTTGCTGTATGGGCACCCTGGCTAAATACCAGCAGGATGCTCACATCCTGTCACACATAGAATCCCAGCCTGGTTTGGGTTGGGAGGGACCTTAAAGCTTCTCCAGTTCCAACCCCCTCTGGAAACAGCAGTGCTCTACAAGGGGATGCTGTGGTGTTCCCAGATGGAGTTTATCACAGGCACCGTGGTACACAGAGCTCTTTGCCTCCGTGACAATTGAGTTGTAGCAGCAATGATCAGGTGCAAGCTATCAATGAAAGCAGCATGAGCTTGTCATTGCTCACAGGCCAGGCAGCACTTCTTGGGCACTGCCTCCTGCCCAGCCCTCGTTGTTAGCATTGCCCCAGCTAAGATGCTGCCATTGGAAGGTGCCTTCTCCTCCAAGGGCCTGATGCCTTGCTTCCAGCTCCCTGAGGCTGCAGGATTGGGCCCCAGGAGGTAACCCAGTTTTGTTGCTAAACCCTTGTCTGTCTGTGGTCTCTTTGGTCTCTGTTCCACAAGAAGTACAAGTAAGGAGAGGCTGGCACTGGGCTGTTCCTGTCCCTGGGCAGTGAATCTCAAGCACAGGAATCCACAGCCTCTTTGGCAGTGATCTCTGTGTCCCCATAGGGAGAGCAGAATGAGAACAGAGGAACAGGGGGATCTTCCTCACTGATATCTCCTGTTATTGCTGCTCCAGCTCCTGGTGGCCTCTGACCCCTCCAGGACAGGCACAGCCATCCCATGGGGAGGGGTTCTCATGTGCTTGGCATGAAGAAGGCAGCGAGGTTGGAGACAGGGTGAAGCCACCACGTGGGTGCCATGGTCACCCTCAGAGCCCCCAGGGTGAGGTCTCTGTGCTCAGGCTGGGACAGGGAAGGGGCTCTGGGGCTCCTCCAGAACTGTGGATCTGTTCTGGGATGGGAGAGGGAAGGGGAGAGCAGAGGGGAGCTGGGCATGGAACGGTGCCATTGTTCCAAAGTGAACCCTGCAGGGTTCAGGCTGAGTGGCTCTGCAAAGGTCTCATTAGCACTAAGTGGAAAAGAAGGGATTCCTTGGAGCTGTGAGGTTAATGAAAGGTTGGGTTGTATTCCCCACGGAGCTGGGAGCTCCTCCATCCCATAAGCAGTGAATGGAAACTGGCTGGCTGAATGAAAGATGCTCTGACTGAGAGATGCTAACCAGCTCCATCACTCCTGCCCTGGGCTCTGAGATAGTAAGGGCCAAGGATTTGCATCTGAGGGGCTGGAAGAGCCTCACCTGCCTCCAGTTCCCATAAGAAACTGGAAAACAGGTTGGGTAAAGGAGCAGGGTCAGCGGGGGGGAGCAGCCTCCTCATTAATACCTCTCAGAGCAGTGGCACCGTAGCTCCAATGGCTCTTCCAAGGGAACTCCAAGCAAGCTGTCTTAAAAGAGCCAATGCATGAAAGCAAATGTGCCCAGCTTAAAAGCCATTGCACTGGGTAGCCCAGAGCTGTTGCTGTTGGATTCCTTTTGCTCCCAAAGTCCTCAGCATGGGGAGAGGAGGATCTGCTGCTTGCACAGCTCAGTGCCAGTGTCCCTGGGTGCCAAGGAGGGACAGAGCCAGGGCTGGGGCACAGTGTGTGGTGGATACTGGATGGAATCATCCTTGGCCAGAGGAAGCTTTCCCAAGCTCAGGCTTTACCTGTTGCTCTCTGAACAAGCCTTTTCCTTCAGTTCTCATTCTCCAGGGCTCTCTCCGAAGCCAGGGAGCTCCAAGTACTTCCCATCGATGGTTTTGCTGCTTCTCCAATGCTCTTCATTGTCTCCCGTGTCTATTCTGGGATGCTGACATCTCAGAGCACGGCAGCAGGCTCCAGCAGATGGGGGGATGCAGCTGCAGCAGCGCCTCAGCTGATCCCTTGTTTACCCTGCAGTAAATAACACACGGTTGAAAACAAGCTGTGCCTGTCCCATTCCAGCACCAGGGAGCAAACAGCCCTGGAACATGACGGGAATGATGCGCAGCGCCGCTCCGGATTGGGAAGTGCTGTGGGAGAAGGATGCTGAGCGTGGATTTGCTCGTCCAGGGCCTTGCAGGAGAAGCAGATGGAGCTGGGGATGGGAAAGGCAGCAGCAGAGCCTGGCTCTGGGCTAAAGTCAGGAGGAGCTGGGTTCAACCCTGGCTGCACACCCCAGGTCCTCCCATCCCTGCTGGTGCTCAGCCAAGGTGCCTGTCTGCTCCGCTTGACCACATCCATGTCCTCTCCTTGGGTCCATCCTGCTGACAACTGCCCCTGCGCAGGCAGACTGACAGATTCCCATCGCCCACCTTGCTTGCTGGAGCTGGGATGGGTTTGGAGCTGTGTTGGGACATTGCCTATTGCTTCCTAAAGGGAAAGCAGTGGCAGCAGGTTCTGCTTGCACCTCACTGCTCTGGTTTGCAAGGGAGGTTTTACACTTGTCTCTTGCCCTTCTCCCAGCAAAGATGCAGATATTGAACCTGCTGGGTCCAAACCAAACAGGAGCTCAGGTTTGGATTAAGAGGAGCACATCCTCTTTGCAGGTTCACAGCATGCTTTGAGCACGCTTCCTAGCTTGGGGGAGCCTGTATCCCAACAAAGCTGCTTTGCTTTGGATCCCAGCGGTTGCTTTGCTCAGATGATGTGTGGGTCTGCAGGGAACCTCCAAGGAAACAGAACCCTTTAGGTGAAAGACTGTCCTTGCATGGGGGGGGTGGTTTGGGTGAGCACTCTGCATGGTCCCCATTGTGCTGGCGCTGTGCTGGGTGCTCAGTGCTGCTCTAACCTGGTTTTCTCTTCCTCCTTTACCCTCTCAGAACACGTCGGAGTTGGAGGGAGGTGGAGATGGCCACCAGAGCAGCATCAACACGCTGCCGGATGTCTCCCTGGTAAGGCATCAGACTGGAGATGGAGGTAAAACGGTGATGCTGAGATTTGCCTCCACTTCTGTAGCTCTTTGCTTAATGAACACCCCATGGGTGTTATTGAAGCAACTTAATCAGACCGGTTTGGAAGGATTCTGGCTGGATAGCATCTGTGTAGAGCAGAAGTTGAGTGGTTTGTGCTCTGATCACCCTCATTTGTGAGTTGTGTTCTTGTCAATAAGGTCAGGAAGGGGTTTCTGTGAAGTCAGCTCATTTTTGCCATCGTCACAATGAGAAGGCAGACAGAGGGGGCTCTGAGCCTGGGGAACGTCCTAAACAGTGTCCTTGCTTTGGCAGGATGACCTCTCCTCCTTCCCGGATGAACCACCCAACTTCAAGCCTCCACCTCCTCCTTCAGCCCCGCAGATGCTTCAGGCCCCCTCCTCTGCCCAGCACAGGACCCAAGGGAAGGACAAGCCCAAGCGCCCTTCCTCCGAGTCCTCCCAGTCAGGCCTCTTCTTCATGGCCCCCCGGCACCCCACACCCCCCCCCAGCCACCCCGAGAAGGACACGGTCAGCATCACCTCCACGGCCACCGCATCCACCGAGGAGTCAGCCCCAAGCCCCATCTACGCCACCATCTCCCCAGCCCCGCACAGCTCCAGGAGGCAGATGGATGCTCAGCTCTCCTTGGTCAGCCAGCACCACATCGGGCCCTTCCCCAGGGTCCAGTCCCCAACCAGGCTGAAGAGCCTATCCCCGGAGGGGCCTGCATCTGGTGGGCTTCAGAGCCCCCCTTCCCCATCGCCTCCTCCTCCTCCATCCCACCCAGCACCCCCTCCTCCGGACAAGGGCAGCCCCCAGGCTGTGGCCAACCAGCACTTCATCATGGTGGAGGTGCACCAGCCCAACAGCGAGCCTGACGTCAATGAAGTGAGGCCCCTGCCCCAGGCCAGAGGTGGGTGATGCGTTATCAGCCATGGGGTGACAAAGGGAACCCTCTCTGGGGTGCTCCTCAGGGGAGAAGGGACAAATGGAAGGGGCAGGAAGGGGCTGGAGGGTAAGACCTGCATCAGACTGCTGGAGTGTGAGGCTTGGTTGAAGGGTTTCCCCATTCCCACTGGGAATGGGGGCTTCCAGTAAGTGCTGGTGAAGAGCTCTAGGGGAAAACATCCCCTTTTTGGTCCAAACTCCTGGTCAGTAGGGTGGGGGGAAAGCTTCAGAGCCTGGATCAGTGCTGTCATGCCCTGTTCTTTGGTTTGCGCTTCGCCATAGGTGAGTTTCCATTCAGAAAACAGCTTGTGGGGTCAGAATCCCAGCCTGGTTTGGGTTGAAGGGACCTTAAAGCTCCTCCAGCTCCAAACCCTGCCACGGGCAGGGACCCCTTCCACTGGAGCAGCTTGCTCCAAGCCCCTGTGTCCAACCTGGCCTTGAGCACTGCCAGGGATGGGGCAGCCACAGCTTCTCTGGGCACCCTGTGCCAGCGCCTCAGCACCCTCACAGGGAAGAGCTTCTGCCTAAGAGCTCAGCTCAGTCTCCCCTCAGGCAGGTTCAAGCCATTCCCCTTGGCCTGTCCCTACAGCAGGCCCTTGTCCCAAGCCCCTCTCCAGCTTTCCTGCAGCCCCTTTAGGCACTGGAGCTGCTCTAAGGTCTCCCCTTCAGGAGCCTTCTCTTCTCCAGGCTGCCCCAGCCCAGCTCTCTCAGCCTGGCTCCAGAGCAGAGCTGCTCCAGCCCTCGCAGCATCTCCATTACCGGCCGGTCCCGGCCCCCATGGGCTCTGCCCCCGCTGGGGCTGCGGCTGCGGTACCCCGGCAATGTCCCGTTCCCGTTCCCGTTCCCGTCCGTGCTCGGGGAGCGGTGCGGGTGCCGCTGTCGCCCCCCTGTGGCGCCGTCCTCCCACTGCAGCTCATTCACCTCGGGGCTATGGATGGGGCCGGGACCTGCTCTGAACTGAACGGGGTCGGACTCTGCCCGCAGGGTGGCAGCGGTGTGAGCCCAGCTCCGCCAAGCCCCGGGGGATGTCCCGCACCCGCTGCCCTCTGCGGTGCTCTCAGACCCTGTTCCCTGGTGCTCATCTCCATCTGCACCCACACTTCATCCTCAGAGGGGCGAATGCTCCTACCTGGCAGCTCCTCTTTGCTCGGGCCCGTCCCCATCTCCTCCCAGACCCTGGTGTGGAGAATGGGCCGCCTCCAACCTGCCTCCAGCAGCATCCCTAAACCCATGACCCCCTCATTCCATCCCAGTTCAGGATCTGGGTTGGATCCTTGAGACCCTTTGTTCCTTGGCACTCCCTGAGCACAGTGCTGCTGTTATCATAGAATCCCAGCCTGGTTTGGGTTGAAGGGGCCTTAAGGCTCATCCAGTTCCAACCCCTGCCACAGGCAGGGACCCCTTCCACTGGAGCAGCTTGCTCCAAGCCCCTGTGTCCAACCTGGCCTTGAGCACTGCCAGGGATGGGGCAGCCACAGCTTCTCTGGGCACCCTGTGCCAGCGCCTCAGCACCCTCACAGGGAAGAGCTTCTGCCTTATCTCCAACCTGAACCTCCCCTGTTTCAGTCTGAACCCATCACCCCTTGTCCTATCGCTACAGTCCCTGAGAGCCCCTCTCCAGCATCCTTGTAGCCCCCTTCAGACACTGGAAGCTTGGGAACATCCCTCCAAAGTCCAGGTCTAAATCCCAAGGGCCCTGCCCGGCGCTGGGAGCGGTTGGGATGTCCCTGCCCTGGGGACACCCTAACCCCACAACCTGCCTGGTGTCCCGCAGCCTCCACGCTGTCGCAGCTCTCGGACAGCGGGCAGACGCTGAGCGAGGACAGTGGGGTGGACATCGGCGACGTGGAGCTGAGCAGCAGGGACAAGGGCCAGCAGCTGCTCCCTGGGAAGAGCCGAAGCCTCCAGGAGCCCCGGAGCAGTGATGGGGCGGCAGAAGGAGCCTCCAAGCCGGTGAGGGTGGGTGCCCATGGGTGCTGGTGCAGGTGGTGGGAGGTGGGCATCGGGGCTGCCCCTGTTGTAGGCAGCACCCATTCTTCTGTGCTTCCATGCATTGACCTGCACATGGAATGCCAGGAGTCAAAGAGCATCTGCAGGCGGGGTGTCTGTGCATCTCCTGTGAGCCTTCCTTGGGGTGACCCTGCTTGTCATGGAGTGACCCTGGGCAGGATGGGAAGGGACAGGGGTGCCTATGTGGTGCTGGCAGGGGGAGGTGGGAGTACAGCAGCCATGGGGGAAATCACCCTATCACAGAATAGAAACCTTCATCTCCATCACATCCCCATCCCCTGCCAGGGGCATCCTTGGGATTGGGGATGCTCCATTCCATCCCCAACTCATCCCAATTCCACCCATATCCCACCCCCTGCTAGGGCCATCCTGGGGATTGGGGATGCTCCACCCCATCCCCATCCCCATCCCATCCCATGGGTGCCGGTCCCCCTCAGCAGCACTGCCCATCTCCCCCCAGCCGGGGCTGCTGGAGCCCACATCGTGCCTGATCCGTGTATCCAAGAGCGCTCCGACCCTGGGCATCGCCATTGAGGGGGGAGCGAACACGCGGCAGCCGCTGCCCCGCATCGTCACCATCCAGGTAGGACTCGGTGCACATCCTGCCCATCCCTCTCCTCCTGAGCACCCTCTGGGGCAGGAATTGTTCCTCATCCCCATCTAAACCCCCCCTGGCACAGCTTGAGGCTGTTTCCTCTTGTCCCATCCCTTGTTCCTTGAGAGAACGGGGGATTTTGGAGCTGTGCTTCCCCCCCATAGCATCTTCCCTTGTCGTCAGCATCATTCTGCTGCAGGGGGTTGCTGAGGGTTGCATTGGTGTCCCATGGAGCATCCCATATAGAGCATGGCCTGGGAGCCAAGGGTTTGCTGTGGATCCAGAGGGGTCTGACAGCCCTGAAAGCTTGGCTCTGGTGTCTCCAGATGGCTGGAAGCTCCCTTTTCCTGCTCAGATAGAGGGCTGGGAGAGGGGGAATGGTGGGGGATAGCTGGGGTGGATGCATGGCTGGGAATAACAGCTTCCTCTGCTGTCCACCTGGGGCAAAACTCAAGTCATTGACAGTAAAACAAAGCAGAGCCGGGTCCACCTTGGTTCTTCTTGGCCATTCCACTGGGACAAGCAAAACGGGAGCCAAATTTACCCCTTCTTTTGGAAGCATGAAATGTTCCTTGTTTCCCCCCCAAAACATCCCTGGGATGGGGAATGGGACCGGGATCTCACCACCTCTACCCTGCAGCGCGGGGGCTCAGCACACAACTGTGGGAAGCTGAAGGTGGGCCACGTCATCCTGGAGGTGAACGGCACGGGGCTGCGGGGCAAGGAGCACCGGGAAGCCGCCCGCATCATCGCCGAGGCCTTTAAGCTGAAGGAAAAGGACTACATTGATTTCTTGGTCACAGAATTCAACGTCGCCCTTTAGGGATCCAGGCTTTGGGATGGGGAGCATCCCGAAGAGGAGCGAAAGGCAGCGCCGAGGCGGGAAAGCTGCATTCCCACCCTGCAGAGCCCTCTCCTGCTGCGCCATCCCGCACGCACAGACACCCCCCAGCTTGTCCCCAAGTGTCCCCTCGCCTGCTGCAGACTCATGCCTGGGTCGGGCAGAAGCCAGTGCACATCCCATAACGTCTCTTGGATCGGGGGGGGGGCACTGCCCTTTGGGAATATCCTCTGGTTCTCCAGTGTGGTGGGAATGGGGCAGGAGAGCAGGGGAAGGTCCGGGTGTCCCCGCTGCCATGTGAGTGCCACACAAAGCACAAGGTGGGCCCGCGGCTCAGGCTGGAGGGGGTTTGGGGGGCCCCTGCTCCCTCGGGTGCTGGCCCAGGCGGGTGGCACGGCCATAGGTGGGGATGCAGAGGGAGCAACCGGAGGCCTTGTAAATCGCTGGCAGAGTCCTTGTGTTTCTATAGACAGAGCTTGTGCTTTACTTTTTCAATAAACCAGTCAGGACAGACAAAGGCTGGGATTGCGGGATTCCTCAGGGCTGGAATAGGGGGGCAGGAAGGGAATGGACAGGGGTGGCTATGGCGTGCTGGCAAGGGCAGGTGGGAGTGAGGCTACCCCATCCCCAGAAAGGGGTGCTCCATCCCCATCTCCTGCCAAGGGCCATCCCAGGGATTGGGGTGCTCCCATCCCATCTCATCCCCTGTCAGGGCCATGCTGGGAAATAGGGGTGCTCCATCCCATCCCATCCCATCCCATCCCATCCCATCCCATCCCATCCCATCCCATCCCATCCCATCCCATCCCATCCCATCCCATCCCATCCCATCCCTGTACCTATCCAACCCCCTGCCAGGGCCATCCCAGGCATTGGGGGTGCTCCATCCCATCCCGACCTATTCCCATTCCCATCCTCATCCCCGCCAGAGCCGTCCCGGGGCGGGTGTAGGAGTTCCCCACCAGGGGGTGCCGGGGCTGCATAAATTATGATAATGACAGCCCCTCTGATTGGTCTCCCGCCGCGGGCTATGCAAATACAGGAGAGGGCGGGGTTTATGCTAACGACCTTCAATTCCGTGCTCTGCGGCGCTCTCCTATTGGTGGGGAGCCGCCGATATGCTAATGAGGACAGAGGCCCCGCCCTCCCGCCGCCGGCTGCCCGCGCTATTGTCCCGCGGGGCGGGGCTGGGGGGAACGGCGGCGGGACCGGGACCGGGACCGCGATCGCGATCGTTGTCGCGATCGTGATCGCGGTGCGGAGCCGCCCCGCGTCGGGCGAGGAGCAGGCGGCCGGGCCCTCCCTGCAGGTGAGCAGCCGCGGGGCAGCTGTTGTGCGCGGGGGGCGGTGGTGCTCCTCCAGCGGTGCCCAGATGTGCTCCCCACATGTGTTCCGGGGGGCCGGGGCAGGGCGATGGGGCCGGCGCCGCTGCTCGATGTGCTCGCTCTGATCCCTGCAGGGCGCCTTCTGCAGCTGGAAGGAAGGAGGGGACCCGCGGGCACCGCTGGGATCACAGCTGGATGCGCAGCTGGGGGCCGCGGGGATGGGTTAGGCTGGAACTGGATGGGTTTTAGGGTCCCTTCCAACCCCAACCAGGCTGGGATTTGGTGCCGCTGCGCCGCTTCTGCCCACGTTGTCCGCGGGCCACCGGAGCCTTGGGAAACTTGTCAGAACTCTTCTTATTGCGGTGCTTCCTCCCCGCCCAGGGCTGGCTCTGCCGCCCGCAGGGCTCCGGAGCCTTGCCGAGGGTTTCATCAGGCTGCGAAGGGCGGCGCGGAGCCATGGCCGGGGCTCAGCCGCACGGAGGATGCGGGATGCGAGGCCGTGCCGCTGCCTGCGGCTCCTCCGAGGAAGTGGCCGCTGCCTCCAGCTTCAGTTCCTTGTTCTACTTAAAGGGCAGCTCTGTTCCGGTGGGTGCCGGCAGCGGGGCCCGGGTTTCTGTCGCTCTGCAGCAGCCATCCGGGCAGGGATGTTTAAAGGACCCCTTGGAGAGCACCCAAAGCCAGCTAATACGGGATCTCTGCTGCCGGCTCGTTCCAGACAGGGATTAAGGCCGCCATCAGCAGCCCCCAGCTCCTGTATATAAGGACAGGTTCAGCCCTGGATCTTGCCAGGCTATGCCGTGAGGACAAGGCTGTCCCCGTTGAGGACAGGACCGTGTGATGGGGACAGGAGGGTTCATGGAGCAGGCAGGCGGTGGGAAAGAACCGTGAGGCTTTGCTTCCTTGGAAGTGATGGAGAGATGCTGTTTCCACGGGGATTTGGTGCCTCTCCATGGGGATATGCTGGTGTGGAGGAGCCAGAGGGGTATGCCCCCCCCCAGGCAGAGGAATGGGGTGACCCATGGGGTTTCGGGCGATGGTGCAGTAACAGACACATGTGCTTTCAGAGGACAGAGAGGGTTTGTGAGGCTCTTCCTCACTAGGATGGTTTCTCCCATACTAAGCAAGCAGCTTCTCTGCCCTCTTTCATGCTCATAAACCAGGACTAAACTTGGAAAGAAAGGGTTTTTAAACCAGGAATTCCTCCCTCCTGGAGTACCAAGCTCCATCCTGATGCTGCTGTTCTGGCTTCCTTCAACCCCCCAACAGAGATGCTTTGGGTGGCAGCACGGATGTGTCTTAGACAAAAAGGGAGCTGAGGAGCAGGAAGGGGAGCATGGAGGTGCCACAGGAGACCCATGGGAAGTTGGATGCTGTCTGGAATTGAGTTTTGGATTGGAACGAGTGGTTTAGGAGACTAAAACACCCATTGCTTGCCTTGGGCGGAGGGGGTAACGCCTGTTTTGGGGTTCAGGGGGAGGCATTAAACCCCTCCTAGAGCAAGGGATGTCTATTTTAGGGCATAGGGAATACCATTCCCCATTGCCATGTGGATGGAAGTGGGCATTAGCACCCCCCGAACCCACCCGCACTACCCAGGGTTGACAAGGCAGCAAAGGCAGAGTGACAGCCCTGTCTGCCCCTTCCATGGCACCCAGCAAGCCCCGGGGCTGAGGATGTGACAGTCTCCTCGGCTTGTCACCACTAATGAAGCCAGGAGCCCTGATGGGGCTGTGTGCTCTGCATCACACATAGAATGAGTTGGGATGTCTCAGCCTTCATCAGTCCCATGGGATCAGAGTGGTGGAGGTTGAAGATGCCTGAAGAGAGGAGCAGGGATTAAGAGGTGAGGGCAGCAATGGGCAGAGGTAACCCCTCCTGCCTGCTGGGTGTGCTGAGACCTGGCAGCACTCAGCACTTCCAGTGCCTGAAGGGGCTGCAGGAAACCTGGAGAGGGGCTTGGGACAAGGGCCTGTAGGGACAGGCCAAGGGGAATGGCTTGAACCTGCCCGAGGGGAGACTGAGCTGAGCTCTTAGGCAGAAGCTCTTCCCTGTGAGGGTGCTGAGGCGCTGGCACAGGGTGCCCAGAGAAGCTGTGGCTGCCCCATCCCTGGCAGTGTTCAAGGCCAGGTTGGACACAGGGGCTTGGAGCAAGCTGCTCCAGTGGAAGGGGACCCTGCCCGTGGCAGGGGTTGGAGCTGGAGGAGCTTTAAGGTCCCTTCCAACACAAACCAGGCTGGGATTCTATGATCACCCTATTGCAAAATCCTGGCTTTCCCAGAGCAAGATACACAAACACACACGCTTGGATTGCTTGCATTCACTCTGTGGCTCCTGACGATGCATTCACACCACTTGTCCAGCTTTGCTGTGTTACCATAACAGCGCCTAACAAGATCCCAAGTTTTCCCCTTCCCGCTGTGACCATTGGTGGAGGCGCTTCCTGGGACAGTGATGAGTGTGGCTGGATGTGCCAGCAGACCCTGCCGCCTGTGGCTGTTGCGGGCAGAGCAGCTCTGGGGATGGGATGGAGAATTGGGGTCACAGCCCTTGGTGTGTGGGTAGGGCGTGATCCAGGCACCAGCCTGCCAAAACCAGGTAGGAAACAGTTTAACCCTCTGCCCTGAGACAACAGCACCCACCAGCCCCTTTCACCTCCCCCCCAGAGCTGGTGTTTTGGCTCCTCATCTCTTGGGGTGCTGTGGGGCTCGAGGTGGGGTGGGGGGCACTCGCTTTTCCAGGCAAGGCCTTGGGGCTGGAAACATCCCAGCTCCAATAGAGGCTAAAGCCAAAACCCCTCTTTAGCTCCTCTGAGCAGCCACAGAGCCTGGAGCATCCCATGGGTAGCTCCATCCCTGCTGGCAGCAGAAGCCATGCAGCCCCTCCATGGTGTGGAGGAAGGAGTTGCCCAGCCAGGGTGTGGGATAAAGCCTCATGCAAACACCCCAGCAGGCCTGCAAGCCCTTAGGGATGCTTTGGGGTTTGCTCCTTGCCCTGCAGAAGGATGCGGGCACAGCTGGGAGCGCGCTGCTGGTGCAAGGGTGATGCTGAGGACCTCCATGCTGGGTGGCACTGGCAAACAGCCCCCAAACCCTCACCAACAGCGGGATTTCAGCCATGGAATCAGTAGATCCGAGGCACTGCAGTGGGTTAGCAGTGTTTGCCCCCAGCATGTGGGTGCCATAGGTTGATTTCCTGCTCAGCAGCATCCTCCTGAACGCAGCCACCCCAGGCCCTGTGTGGCTTCATCAGCTCCATGCAGCCTCTCCACATGCTGCTAATTGCACACTAATGAGCTGGATTAATCTGCCTGGGAGGGAGCCAGGATGGGTTGTGCTACCTGGTTGTGGCCATGGGCCCACAGCCCTGGGGTTGGAGCAGCACCTCAGGGAGGGGTTGGGGGGGTTCTGCCTGGATTTAGGGGGGTGAATGCTGAATTTTGGGGCTGCTTGGTGTGAACATCTTGGTGTTTCATGTTGGTGTTTTATGGAGGCTGCAGCTGCTGCTGGTCCCAGGATCACCCCCACATTTTGCTCTGGCATCGTGCTCCGCATTGGTTTAAAACCCCAAAGGCTGGGATGGAAAGCACTGTGGGAACAGGGTTTGCCCTCCCTCGGGGCCTGATGGGGTTAAGAGCTCTGCAACCACCTGCAAGCTCACAGGAAGCTTCACTTCCTCCTTCTACAAAAGCCCTGCGGCTGCAGAGAGGTTTTGGGGTGCTCGGAGCAAGGCTGCTTTGGGGACCCTCAAAGGGGTCACGGTGATGAGCTCGTCTCATGGATAACGGTGCAGGTGAGTGCACCCCACCTGCAACCCCTATAGGGCAAAGCTGGGTT